TCTTATTGTTTGCAAAATGCCCAATTAATTCATGCATGACTCACGGTTACCGGCAGGGCGCCGATCAGTTACCGGGGCTTTGTTTACCATGCATTCATTAATCGAAGGTGATAAATAGTCGGTATTGGTCCTATCAGTACGGTAATTGTCCGGCCGGTACGGTAACGCAACGGTCGGTACGGTAAAGCAACGGTCGGTACGGTAAAGCAACGGTCGGTACGGTAAAGCAACGGTCGGTACGGTAAAGCAACGACCGGTACGGTAAAGCAACGACCGGTACGGTAAACCGAGTCAAACTCACCGGAAACCGGCTGGGTGGTAATGATCAGTTCCCTTAGTGGATATCGGCTACCATGAATTTGTTGTGAATGCATAGACCACGGTAACCCTGCGTAAACTTCGCTTTGACAATGACCTGTTAATAAAAGTAAAATGCAGTAAATATTTCATGCCATATTCAGTTCACCTATCAAGGATCGCTAGTTACCATTTTTTTCGCCAAAATCAATTTCAACAGATTGTATTTCAACATCGATAATTCATTTCCGCATTGCGTTACCAGAAAATCTTAGGGAATTTCCGAAGAATTGCATCAATACAACATAGCATTCTGATTGGTTAATAAAAGACTTGACCCATTAGGTCAAAGGTTGTTGTTGCTGGTTAAATCATGCAAATACATCATGGCGAAAAGTGCTTTTCATCAAGCATACGATCCAACACATTCGTCAGTGGTGATAATGATGAAGATTTTGACTTTGACAGTGTTCTAACAGACTCTTATTAATTTTTTAATCTCAAAAAGTCGAGTGGTACATAATTAATATTGTAATATGACGGCCGAACTAATTTCGTAATTTTATTTTGCTTCAAAGACATAATATTTCCTCAAACTGTCACATAATAAATTAAAATTTTCATTTCCGAAGGGATTGCTCTGGTAAGCGCCCACCCGTAAAAAAATCGTGATTTTTCTGAGTTGAGGACCCTGGGCGCTAACTCGGTCGAGTACGGTATATATTTAATGTTGTTTCCTTTTTTAGTGAAATCAATTTTATCCATCAAGTGTGGTTATTTCACGTCGTTTTTCTGACTTGTCTGGACTCCTGAGCTAAGAAATGTTTTAGGTAAAGAAGAATATCTGTAGCAGTAATCTCAGAATGATGTTCATTCACAGAATGAATATCAATCAATTTTGATCCATGGGAAAATATCATGGCAATACAGTGACAGATGTATATTAACTTTTTTTTTCAAATTTTAGAAAAATATGTGATGCAGCCACCAGTGATAAAACCAATCCAATCATTCAGCCACCCACACCTGATGTCAGTTGAAAGCAAAGTGAATCCTCAGTCTTTAGCCGTGACGTACACAACTCAGACTCAACAACCTGTAATGAGCAGTACAGCTGGTCTCAACGTTTTAGCAACCTCTGCAGCGAGTTCGCCATTAATACCCGCAAAACGGCCGTTAAATGGTAGCCATGTTTCGGATGAACGAGAGGACGTGAAACGACCAAAGTTTGAAAACCCAGACAACTGGAACAGTGCTGCAGAGGGAAAATGAACTTATATTACGCTTTAAACTCAGGGTTATGCTGCCATCATTTTTTTTTGTTTTTCTCCATCATTTGATTAATCTAGCAGTCCAGGTTTGAATTGTCAATAGGCTTGTATTACCTTTTTCGCTTATTGATAAACAAAAGTGTACCAGTCAGGTTGCAAATTATGTATAAGTTATTCAGTCGCGTGGTAGTTGAGTGAACAGAACAACTTCTAAAATTGGTGACAGCATCCTGTTTGGTCAACCATGGATAATTTCAATGAATCTGGTATGAGGCGAGTTTCAGTTGGTGCACTGTGCTTTGCGGGACTCCGTTTTAGCATCAGCGGTCCGATATTTTGCCAATCTGTGGCGTGTTTTCGTAGAATGAATGAATGAATTAATTATGAATTTCTAATGGGACCATCTATTTGCTGTGTGTTGGTTGATGATTACATTTTAATAACTAATACTAGAACATCATATTTGAATAATATATAAAGGACGATGATTTAACCATGACATTTAATAAACTGGACTTAGCTTTGGCATATTGATATTAAAGGTGAGCACCTTAAATGATTCGTTACTCAATTCTAGCAAGAATTTGCCGATGATACCATGATGTGATTGATTGCACAACCAGGAAGGTGCGAAAGCTGCTGCCTTCAATTGGGTGGACTATTTTTTTATGGCATCTTAGCTTTTAAGCATGTGTTTGCGTTGTCAGATTGTAAGATCATAGATATCTTGCTCTCACTCATGATATTAATTCAATTGCCGAAGCTCAAGCATGGTAATGAAAAAGCAATACATGTTCCTATATGTATCTGTTAATAAGTAGTTAGACGGATTGATCCATTTGATTGAAGATAATTTTGTTTACTTTCCACACTTTGTAGCTTT